CTGAGATTAAATCCACACACACAGCATTTTCTCGTTCCATTTTGTGTTGAAAGAAATGTTAGATGGATTAAGGAGAGCCACTACGTATTGCAAAAAGTGTTGAAGTTGGTGCAGCTCCGACAGCAACCCCGCTTTGTTAACACAGAGAGCGGGACGGCGGAAGCTTCCCGTGCACCAGTTACGTCCGTTTCCCCTGAAATCTTCATTTTTACCTGTGCAGGTGTGTTACAAGGAGCACTCCGAGCAACTGAGGGATTGTCAAAGCGCCGAACTGCAAGAACTGTGAAAGGTCCGCTGTCACTGCGCTTGAGCTGGGTTGTGGGCAATACCTGGGAGCCTGAGTCTCGAGCTTGGGAAATGCTGCGGGCTCGGGCCCGGAGGACCGTGACTGCCGGGCATGAGCGGTCCCCCTCTGCTCACGCAGCATCGGCATCGAATTGCCCGACAAACGAGGAACGCATTTGCTCCTTCGCTCTGAGTGATGTGTGAAGCTCCAGGCTTTGGGTAAAGTCCCTCCAAACAAAGTCAATGGAACACTTCCCCTCCGAGAGGAAAAAAAAACCAACTGTAAAACCTCCCTCCTGGACTAGAACGGAGTTTTGTTTTCTTAGGTGAACAAAAAGTGCCCTTTAGACAGAAAGTTCGTTAAACGGGACCTGGATGTGGCCCCTTTTTGCAGCTTGGCTGCCGAGTTACGAAGGACAATCTTTGATTTTAAACATTGGAATAGCGACGTTCACTTAAAAAACAACAACAACAACAACAAAAAACCTCTCCAAACCCAACATGTATTAGTGTGCACTGAAATATATTGCGCCTTTTTTGCTCACGGTAATAAATTATACTTCACGTGGTTCCTTCTCACAAACAGGATGTCTGAACAATTCGGACTCAGCCGAGGTTGTGAATCTGCGATTTGTGGTTGCCGCAGCCCCCAAGGGATACTCGGGAGGTTGGGGAGGAGCCCTGGGGGGACCTTTTGCGCCTTCTCTCGTCCCCGTGGGGAGGGGCGGACACTGCTGGGACCGAACGATTGGCACGGGGACGCGCATTTCTTGGTGCATTTTGATTTAGCTTTGTCCCAAGCTGATCTACTGCGGAAAAAAAAATAAAAAAACCCCCGGGGGGGGGGGGGAACCAAATGAAAATAAATAAATAAATAAATAAATAAGACTCCCTACGTGACTTTGCCTTGGCAAACGGGCGGCTGCTGCTGAAAACTTCGCACCATCCGGGCACCTGTCTTCACTTCCCTTCCTATTTCACGGACTCTCTTCCCCCCGCATCTGTTGGCATTTTCATTCAACGAAAATCATCTCTCTCCTTTTCTCCTGCCCCGCGCGAAATAGCTCCCATGAAGCGCCCCTCACAGCTTCCCCTTCCCACTTTCCTGCATAACCGAAGGGTGTGTGTGTGGAGGGAAGCGAATGATAACCCCAAATTCGTTTAGTTCACTCTCAGGCCATGTTGATTTCTTCCAATTCCCCCATAGACACTTCGTGTTTTAACTGCCTTGAGAGAAAAGAACAAAATAAATTCAAAATAAAAATTTATATTTTCTATGCTGAGACACCCATAGCTAAGCAACGGTGCTAGAAATGAGAGGGGGCAGAGGAGGTGTGGGGATGGAGGCTTCTGGGCCGTTTGGAAAGGGAATACCTGTCCTGTTGATGCCGTCGCCTTTTCACTTTATTTAAACAAATGAAGAACTGGAAGGGACCGCAACGAGTGGCAGCGCTGTCCCGGCCGGGAGAGGCAAGCAGCGCTAGGGACGGCCCCAGCGCGGAGCCGGGGCTGAGCGTCCTGAGCGGGAGGTGGGTCCCATCCCGTCCCCGCACTCACATTTCTTTCCCGAATGCGTTATGCGTTTTTTTTTGTTTGTTTTTTTTTTTCTTTTTTTTTTTTCTTTTTCTTTTTCTTTTTCCCCAGCAGTGAGACGCCTGCAGTCGGTGCGATTTATTATTCTAATTCTTCCGTTAGGATCTGTAAGTGCTGAGCTCAAGAAGGACAGAGGAATGCGAGGGCGGAGGAGGCGGCAGCCGCGCTCCCCGCGGAGAACCCCGGGGTGCCGAGCGCTAACACCCCCGCCGTGCCCTCCTCCCCCCGGCTCACCCCAGGGGACGGAGTGCCTCCAGGAGCCCCGAGCACGGCAGGGGCGAGCTCCTTCACACCACCTCTGGCCACGAAACGTCTCTCCATCACACCTCACACCCTTTCACAGAAGGTTTAGGAGATACTCCATCTCTGGAAACACAGCGGCACATCTGCGCGCAGCCCTTAATAACCGGGCTGCCTGCCGGAGGGGAGCGCTCCCTGAAGAAAGATGCTTTTCAAAGCTGTCTCTCCTCAGCGCAAGGTTTAAAAAATGAAAAAAAAATTATTTGCCGCCTTCTCCCCCAGGACCCGTCCAAACTTTTTTAGAATGGTTTTTGTTTGCTGAAGTCAGCTTTCTGCTCACAAGCTTTTAAGGAGAACGAATGCCACGCGCGGAGCCAGTTCTCCCCTCGGCTGCATCCCTCTTTCCCTTTGAAGTCAGCTGGGGTGCGCGGAGGTAAACGAGAGCAGAATTTGGGCCCTGGAGCTAACCACGCTGAGGAGCAGCTCCGTGGTTTGTTTATTTACTTATTTGTATGTTTGTTTATTTGTTTGTTTGAGCCAGGAGTGGTGGGGGCAGTTATACCTCGCGTAGCTCCCTGCCTTCAGCCCTCGGTGCGGCGACGGTGCGGACACCTCTGTGCGAACCACGGCGCTGAGAGCGCAGACGGGGCAAAAAGGGAGAGGAGCCGTCCCTGGGGTGAAGAAGCTGCTGGAGGGCTCTGCTCTCAGTCCAGCGGTGGGGGTTGTGCGGAAGACGCGGCAGTGGCTCCGAGTGCGGGGCTGCCTCCGCAGCGAGTAGCGCTGCCGTCGGTGTACGGCCGCTCCGGGCTGTCGGGAGGGAGCGAGCGGCGCCGCCGTCGAGGCAGCTCTCGGGACGTGCGTGTTCCCCGGGCGGGCATTCTGGGCTCCTACGGTCTCACTGCAAAAAGCCCCGCTGCTGTGCTGCTGCCGGTGGGAGCTTGGAGTTTTACGGTTTTACGGGCACATGAGATGCTCCTTGTCCTCGGCACCCCTAGGGTTTACTAGCTGCCTTTAAAGAGGGACGTTTATTGGGATAAAAGTGGATTGCGGGCTGCAAGAGCGTTGCATGTGTCTTTCATTTAAAAGATACCGAGAGCTCCGGTTTTTGGTGTTGTTTTTTCTTCTTCTTTTTTTCTTTTCTTTTTTCTTTTTCTTTTTTTTTTTTTCTTTCTTTTTCCCTCCCCCAAGGCATTTAGTGCTTTTAAGGCAGAGTTATAAACAAGCTGCCGGAGCGCCGGCACACGGAGATGCGGGCGGTGGGGCCGGGAGGGGGGAGGAGGGCAGGGAGAGCATCTGTTTCCTCGGGTCTGCAGCAGACTTTGCTCCTAAAGGTGCAAAGCGGCAAATGCCGCTTCTTCAAGAAAATCCAGAGAGCAAGGAGGGGACCCCGGCACCGGGCCAGCTCTTCGCCGGGACCTCTTCGTACGAATTCACTCTCCCTCCACTTCTCCACGAGAGCTCGTGCACAGAGGGCCAAAGCAAACCCCAGCCCCGCACACACGCTTCAGCCCCAACTCCCCCCGCCACCTCCATGCTCCCCCCGATGGGGGTGTCAGAGGCAGCGCTGGGAACGGGGCGGGAGGGGCGCAGGGTGCCACTGCCTGCGGTACAGTTCTGAGGTTTTCGGGGTGCACACAGTGCGCCCGTGCGTGTGCGGGTTGGGCTGTGCAAGTGGGATGATGCGGGCTGCTGTATGCTGCATCAGCAGAGAGATAGCCCGTTCAGGTATCCCTGAACGTCCCTATCATTAAAGCCGCTCTTCTCTCCCCACCATGGGGGAAGGGTTCTCCAGACTCATTTCTAAAAGAGCCTCAATGAGACAGATGCACTCAGCACGATGTTGCAGCACTGATCTGAACAGATCGCAGTCCTGATTCGTGTTGCTTTTGTGAGTAGGGAGTGAACTTCCTTTCTCAAGGAGCAGGGAGCAATGTGGGTCTTCCCTAACAGTTTTGTGCAATGTGGGTCTTGTCAAATGGTTTCCTAGGTCTGTCTCATCTATGTCTTAAATCCTGCCTATGTGACAGTGGACCAAAGAAAGAAACACTTTTCTCTTATTTCAGGTGAAAACCTCTGCTTGTTCAATATTCACAGGAATGCAAGCATGCAAGGTCATTTCTTTTTTTTTTTTTTTACCACTTTAGGTTCTAATTTGCCATTCTGTTTAACCAGCTCTCACTAACACACAGGAGTGGATTGCGACTCTGCTGCATAGAAGCCAAATTCCCTTTCAGGACAGCTTCTGAGCAGCTTTTGCTGTTCTGTTTCTCTGCTTCCCATCTCCACTGCATGAACAACATTTATTTTTCCCTCCAGCTTTAGGATCGAACTGCTGAGCTATTTGGGGAAGAAAGAGCATTGGTTCTTCTCTGCAGCTTCAGAGAGCAGGACTGCAGCTACTGAGTGTCAGTTGGATTGATTATGGGAGATCCTTTACTCTAGGGTATGTGCCCCTGCAGTCCCCGAGCTGTGCCTCTCAGGGAGCTGGGAAAGAGGGAGGGAAGTGAGAGATTGCTCTCTTTTCGGGATCCCCGGAGAAATGAGAATGGGTCACGGAAGGGAAATGTCCTTCTCGCGTTCCTCCCTCTCTCCCTCCCTCCTATCTCCCCTCACCCTCCCCGCATGCCCGTGTATGTGTGTCTGTCTGAAACACATCTGTCTGTCTAAAATGGGCCTGGAACTCCCTCCTGTGTTGGGATTAGGTCTTGGGGGACCCGGGGTGGAGTTACGGCACTCGCCGATTTTCATATTCATTAGAAATGGGAGGTTGCGTAAGGAGCCCCGCTGAGCTTCAAGATATAAAGCAACTTCAGGTTCCCCCTCTAAAGACAAGACAAATCAAAAGCTCGAAGGGAAAGCAGCTCCCTGAGCTCTGAACGTCTCTCCCTCCCTCCTTCCCTCCCATCCACTCCCCCTCCCCTGCTCACAGTCTGGCCTCTGTCTAGGGAAGAGGCTATCCGGCAGCCTTATATGATTATGGATTTTCTGAGCGAGAAGTTTGCCCTGAAGAGCCAGCCGAGCAAGAACAGTGACTTTTACATGGGAGCAGGAGGCACTTTGGAGCACGTTATGGAAACCTTGGACAATGAGTCCTTTTACAGCAAAACGTCAGGCAGCAAATGCGTGCAGGCCTTCAACCCTCTGCAAAGGGCTGAGCATCATGTGAGGCTGGACAGGACATCGCCCTGCCAGGACAACAACGGTAAGGCGGCAGTCCCGCTGCATTCTGCTCCTGCTCACCGGGTTAGCCTCTGCTCCTGTCCGGGAGAGCGGTGGGAACCATGCAGCCTTCGGGAGCTGGCATGCGAGGTGCAGCCTGCTAAATAAGAATTATAACAACACTATCGGTAACGTCAGTAAGAATAACGATGATAACAGAGATGCAAAAAAATGGGAAAAGGCGACTGCTTGCTTGGAAGCGCTCTTCACCTTTCTGCTGCCCTCTCCACCGGCACCGAGCAAAGTCGTTGGGCTTTACTCCTTCCCTGGACGCGCAGCCCGGCCGGGGGAACAGGCAACGCGGAGGGAGGAAGGAGCCAGGCAGGCTGCCGGGGAAGGGCCGCGGCGGGGCAGGGCGGCCCGGCTGCTGCAGAGAACCCGCGGACGCTGCCGCCTGTCTGCCCCGCGCCTCTCCGCTCCGCGCCTGGCTGGGCTCGGGGTTCCCATTCCGCCGCTCTAGGAGGGGCGGCCCGGAGGGCTGCGGGCGCGGAACCCGCCGGATCAGAGAGGCACCGCCGCGGGTTGAAAACGGAAGGTCACTTGGTCGTGTTCTGCTCTTTAAATAACTCTCAGAGATTATAGTATTTATCTTTATTATCGTTATTATTTTTACTAAGCCACTGAGTAACGTGCAGTGGACATGACATGTGACTCTTTGTACGGACTGAAAACGATTTAGGTAACTCACACGATGCTATTACAAACTAGTGTATTAGTACTTTTTTTTTTTT